TTTTTGTCTTTAATGGACTTGTAAAGCTTGACCACAGTGTGAGTGACTGTTAAATCTGGGCATTATCTAATCCATCACTTATCTCAATAGGAGATCTATTTCAACCACATTTAAATGATTCAATGGGTAAACTGAGAGAGCTTGATTTGAAAACTGTGTCCATCAAGTTCAGAGAATTTCTTTAATGATTCAATGGGTAAACTGAGAGAGCTGGTTGAAAACTGTGTCCTTCAACTTGAGGAAATTTCAATAAATATAAATTTTTAGCGTATAAATTCAGCTGCTTAAAATACTTTTACCCCTCCATCAATTCTTTCATTAGATATAATAAAATATTTGTGTAGATCTATATTAAAGTCTGAGAATAATAAAAAAGCATTTTTAATTAAAAATTGTCCATTTGATTCTTTTATCTCTAGAGATTTTATTCAGAGAAGACATTTAGTTCTTTTAAAAAATCCCTGACGGCTGACCTGAGGTAGTGTTTATACAGGGCTACAAAACATGGGACTGTCATTCACAGGGCTATTGTCTGCCCTCCACATAAAACCCGGATCAGAGAGGCAGATAGTCTTCATCCTCTCCCAACTTTGTTATCCCCCCTGCTCACCTGCCCCCGCGACATGGACTAATTGGAAAGTAATACTATAGGTAAACACTCGGTGTTGACTTAGTAAACAATCGATCAGTGGAACTGTCCGTCAGTGTAAGACGCTCATCACAAAATAATCATGTCAAAAATCACCTCCGTCTTCCCGGACAATCTCTTACAATAGGGGTTTATACGGCCAATAATAGCATATCAAAGTTAATATCCCTACCAGATTTTAAAGTCGATTATTAAATCCATATAAAGAATTTTTATTGCAATGTTGGCCAGAGCACAGTCACCCAGTTTTTTTTTTTCTTTTTAACTTTTTTTTTGCATATAGAAAAAATTCCTTGATGTCTCTTAATTAAGGAATCTGACCTAAGGATCATGAAACTGACTTAGGTTTGTAATAAAGCTTGGTTTTTTAATTAATTTCTTAATTTGCAGATATCAAAAAATTTTCTGGTACAATATTAAAAAAAACCCAACAAATCTTTATTTTGGACTAATTGACTTCTAAAAACATTTTAGTAGAATTCCTAATGATTATAAGTTGGGCTTAAGATGTTTCATGAACCTTATGGGGCCTGATTGAAAAATTATTATCATTTATTTTAAATTTTGACGAAAAAAGATCACATTAAACATGTACTGTAAATTAAATGAAATGCATTTTTGATTTTTAGGAATAAAACTTACTGCACAGTACTGGCATTCACAGATGAATAAAACTATATATTTTAATTCCACGGAATAATTAATCAGTTCTGGCAAGTGTAGGCTCCTCTAGATATAAAGTGTAATATGATGTTTCTAAAGTTTATTCACTATTGAATCCTATCTTAGAAAATTCATCATCTACACACACAATTAACCCTTTAGATCTCATTTTAACATGTAACAGATAATACTTACCTCAAAGTCTTCACAGATAGCCCAAAGCTAGTCATAAATAGTTTCCTTTATAAATACTTAAACTTCTCTAATTTCATAAGATTGTGTGATAAAATTAACAAACTATCTCAATTGTTGATACAAATCAGATTTTGCCAGGGGGCATAACTGTTTAATTGTGTAGGAGTGATGTCCCTTATTGGAGAGACGTGTAGGAATGTTGTTTGATGTTTTATTGCTCACACTTTCACTGGCTCGCTCACACCTCTGTCCTCGGATGATCTTTCACCTCTCAGTTTAAAAGATCTTAATTTTAGATAAGTATCTGAAGATTTGAACAATTTCAAATTATAGTCTGGGAAATCTTGTTAGCCTTGTTCGGCTTTTCATTTCTTTTTTCTGATAATTTGTTTTCATTTTAAAGTCACCATAAAACTATACACTACAATTTAAAATCAATGCATCGTCAGTTCAGGTCAAACTCAAATATCTATTATTTTCATGTATTTATGATAAAATTAACTTACAATTTAGCAAAAGTTTGACTACACGAGATTTTATTAGATATTAGCTTATTAACTTGTCAGATGCTAAAGTTTTAATGATTGAAATAGTCACACCTTCAGCTTACCAAAAAGCCAGTCTTAGCACCATGTTGAAGATCACATCATATTCCCTGGCCTCATGTATTTTCTTAATTTACAAACACAAGATTCTCATGAACCACAATGCTCACTTGGAAAACAATATGACCATATATTATTCTTCATCAGTAGATTCTTTAGATTCTTTTTCAAGCATATATTCCTGTGTAGAAAGTCAATTATAGCTCTATCCTAACCTCCCACCCCACTCCACTGAGTCATGATTTGAATAAAATCTACACTACCTGAAAATATACTTTCATACATGTATAAATGTGACTGATCTTGGCAGTCACATTCTTGAGAAGAAGATTTTAATTTTTTTTTAAACATTGTATTTCTCTGTAAAACTTTGATTGTCCACTGTGGACCCACCCTTACCAGGAGTCATGATTTGTACACTACCCCAAGATGCATCCTTATAATTATGACTCCTTCAGCTTTTTTCGTTTTAGTAGAAAAAAAAATTGTCAAATTTTACTGTCCCATTTAGGCTTCAACCTAGCAAGGTCATGCTTTAAAAAAATGAATTAATTCTATGTAAAGGACTTTCAAATAAGTTTAAACTTTTTCGATTCAGTGTTTCTTGAGAAGAATATTTCTAAATGACCTACCCGTAACTGAATGTTTTTTTTTTTTACTTTCTTAATTATCTCCCTTTGGTAGAGGATCGGACCTCTTTCATTTGAAAAAAAAAATGAATCACGTTCATCCAAACGTGCTCTGCAGGCACGTTTTCAGCATTATTTTCATGTATATGGGGGGGGGGGCTCAAGGAGCCCCACTTTTTTTTTTTTGTCCAACATTACTTCTACTATTGAAAATGTTCATTGAAAGACGGGTTGCCCCTCCCCCCACGAATTAGGATTTTCGAGTTTGGGCAAGTTTGTTTTGTTTGTCAAAAAAAAAAATTGTCTGGCTTGCCTCACCCCTTTCAAAAACGATGCTACGTGCCTGCTCTGTGTCAAAAATAGTTGAAATTGACCCATGGAGTGCTTCGGGAGAAAACAAATTACGTCAGCGACGACAATAGCGACAAATTTTGATCAGAAAAGCCTACGTGAGCCTTTGACTCAGGTGAGCTTAAATGGTATGCATCATTTACATTACAGGACCACCCTTGTAATTGGAGGCATTTTTCAAAGAAATCCATTGATTAAGCAGATCTCCTGTCAACACTCAAAAATTTTCAAAAATATTTTAGCATCGAAATTTTCAGAATAATTTCTTAAATTCCCCCATTATTTTCATGTATATTACACTTTTCTTATTTTGTAGTAATATTTAGCTGCAGAACTATGGCTCCCTGGGAAGTAAAATATCAATTTTTATGGACAGACTAACTCGATTCTTCCATCGCGACCAGTGAGCTACACATGTCCAGCTATCACATACATGCATGTATCTATCATTGACCTTCACAGAATCAATTACTCCAAGTCCAATGTTGATTTTTTAAAGAAATGTCAAGCTCTAAAATTTTAGATCAATCAACCCGAAAAACTATACACATAACATGTTTACTGTTTTCAAGCATGTTACCATGTGTTCACATTCTGACAGCATGACAGAAAGGGTGACATATTTGGGGTGGGGGTGCGGGGTGAGGTGCATTTTTTTTTCTTGGTTGTGATGTTTTTTATCGTTTTTGTTAGATACTTTGTTAAATAGTTTTTTTTAGTTAAACTGTAACACTGTCATTTTTTTTTTCTGTCGATCCCACTCCAACACTTCCGATAATGTTACTGTAACTGTGTTTTTGTGGGGTGGACATCATGTCTACACAATACAAGTGACTAATTCTCTCCAAGAATTAAAATAGAATTTGTTGAATAAATGAATTGAAGCTATACAAATACATGTACATAAACTATTGACTATCAGATTCCTTTGACCACACACCATCCCATCGTCGCAAACAACGAGCAAAATGTACTATCCTCTCCCATTGTAGGAGGGAGCTATATGCGGACTCCGAACCGTGGCTTGAGTCAATGCACCCCCACCAACAATATCCAAATTGGTGTGAAAAGGGGGTTAACTCTCATGGCATATGCTAAGCATTTTATAAAATCCACTACATTGAACCGTTCAACGTACATATATGATATACTATTTTATTAATCAGGCAGTTGTTATATATGAAAAATTGATTACAAAAAATATAACTATAATATTGAGGAAAGAAAAAAGAAAGTTGCCGAAACAAACAACTTTGTGTTTGTGAAACACTGATTGCGTTTGTAAAACACTGATGCACCCCCCCGGCAAGATAGCGAAGATTAAGCCTTTCTTAAATGATAATACGTGGAATGTACATGTGAAATATGAAAGTCATAGCTCTACTAAATCAAAAGTTATGGGCAAGTTTTTTTTTTTCGGACAGAGGGACACGACAAAAACTATATATTGTACCCCCGAATCTTCGATTACGGGGGCATAAAAAGTAAATAAACATCTCAGGTGTTCATTAACTTTGTTTATTCAGTAAGTATATGTTTTCACAGTAATTTATAAATATTTTGTTTACACAAAATTTCCTCCTATTCCCAAATCTTACCTTTTCCTAATTTTCAAAAAGTGAATATATAGGTAGAATAAACCTTTCTGTTGTCTATTCCTGACCGATTACCCACCTTTTTAAACTAATAGTTTCACAAAAATTTAACAAATTTCAAGATTGAAATTAAGGATTATCATTCAGAGAATTGAAATACACGCAAGTGAATCCAAACTCCTGTGGATAAAGATTTAACACTCGTTTATAGTTGTTATAGTATTATTTTAATCGTCTCTAACATATATATCTGACTTTTTAACAATTTTTCATGTCCTATTGAGATTGAATTCCCAACCATCCAACGCCAATTTTGCGACCATGAAGATTTTTTTCTGTCTATTCCGCTTCCCTTGAGAGCTGTGGATGGAAATCCCTTAGCTTGCGTTGATGTCCAGTGCTGAAATGGGTCTGTTTGTTTCTGTTCACTTATATTTCCGTTATTTGTTTTTAACTTTTAAAATTAAATCATTAAAAATTTATATACTTAAATATATGAGTTACTGCACATAGTAAGATCAAGAGTTTGATTTATTTTCTATTTCTTGAGGGAAAGATAACTTTTTCTAGGGCCATAAAGGGGGACTCGAACAAAAGCGACACCACAAAGGCAGCACCGTAGGACACAACCAGATTAGAAAGGAACAGGTAAACCTGCAAAACACGTTAATATTGTTAAATGAAACAAAAGGATTTTCGTCTTAAACTGTAATGTTAATGTATTAATCTCCAATCGGTAATCCTCGGCTGACTCCGCTACGTTCCATTCAAACAGCAATCGCAACTTCTCGGGCCTTTCCGACTAGCGGAAAAACGATCTCGAATATACATGTATAGCAGATCCCAGTATGGTACAAAGCGTACGTTTTATCCTTCTGCGAATGTATATGGTAGACGCCATGACAACCATCCCTTTTCACGATCTTTGAAATAAATGCATGGAGACCTTATATCTGTAGAATATGGAGTTTAACTTTATTCAATGTAATGATATTACCTAAAATACCGGTATACTATAGAAGGGACTTCTAACTCCGTTTATTATACTTCTGTTAAAATGTTTCCTATACAATGTTCAGAAGGTAAAATAAATATCCTTTATAGTCCACACATAGCAAAGCTATACTCCGGGGTATAGTCTTTGCTATCCACCCTCGGAAAATGTTCATGCAATTTTTACCGCCAATTTTGATTTCCAGCCATAAATTTTTAAACTGATAATGTCATAATAACTTCATTTGCATTGTGACGTCATCAGGATTTTAGATTATTCTTGCAGTATAATCTTACTCTAAAAAAAATTCAAACCTCAGAAATTATAATTATCATACATCAGTATAATAAAACGCTTATCCACTGGGTGTGAGTATTGTGTTGATCAAACCCTTGACAAATTTCAGAGAAGGGTTTGATAAAAGAGCTGTGCCTACAACCAGTGGTATTGTAACTAGCCTATATTTAAATAAACAGGAAATGTATTTTTTAAATTTTTAACATCTGGTGATGTCAATGAGGTTGTTTTTCCGACCTCTGACGGAAAGACCCGAGATGATGCGATTGTGCAAACAGGTTAGTTTGCGAGGTACGGAGCCACCCGAGGAGTTTCGAGTGATTAATCTCTGCAAACTTTATTTGGATCTTACCAGTTCCAGGTCAGTCAGGTAGATTGGCATCCGACGACTGAAGAAATAGGCGTAAATGATGATCACGTGAACCAAGTAAGCCGCATAGGACAGTCGGGAAAGCGGGACGAACACCTTCCACGATAGTATTGTGTTGATGAATCCTTGAAAATTTCAGAGAAGTTTTAAAAGCAGTCTGTGCCAAAACTTTCACTGGTATTAAAGCAATGAGCAAGCAAAAGATATAACTATTTTAAATAACATTTAACAGAAAACACATTAAAACATTTTAAATTTACCGCCATTTCCAGTCGCACATGCAAAGATGACCCAACACACCGCGGCTCCCCAAACACTTCGGTGTAATGCATTGTATACAGCCGATTCTTCGACATTTAGAGGATCATCTCCATTGATGGCACTATAGAGGCCGTAGAGGACAGCGCATGCACAACTTGTAGCAATTGCCCATGCAAAGAAATTCAGATACTGAAAGCAAAACAAGAGGCTCATTCACTAAATTGCACGATTCATATTGGAACTGGAACTCTTCAGTAGAAGATTTTGAAAAAAATCCCCTTGATAAACCAGTGAAAACTTAAGTTTTTGTTTCCCTATCCCATTGTATGCTCCGGCTGATTACTTGAAATGAACTGAGTCCACACAATACTGTACCTAATCAGATAAAGGGGCCAAGTTAATAAACGGATAGGTGGGTGTTGAAATGGCAGATGGAAATTCAGAAAAAGTTGAAAATATTAATTTAGATGAAGACACACATGTCAATGCAGACTTTTTCACATGTGAAATACACAAATGTAGATTTAGGTTGGAATTAAGATTTTTTTGAAAATGATACAAATATTGGCTTATATATTACAAATTTGTGTTGATAAAGGATCACACTTACGATGTTGATTCGACATTTGTTTTTGGTTTTGTATAGGATGTATCCCGTGAGTACGCCACAAACATACGGTCCCATACGGCAATAAGGTCGCATGTAGTATAAAGCAAAGTAATGAGTGGGGCTGAAAAAAGAAAAAAAATTAAGATGTGTATATGGAAACACTGATGTCCTCATTTGGCTGCTCATAGCAAAGGTTATAACTTTCTAAAATGCAAGTGAATCTCTAAACATCAATTCAAGAGATCAAATTCCAAGGTCAAAAACATTTCATTGCATGTAAATGTACCTAAGAGAAGGCCATACCTCCAGAAAATATGTGAAGCATTAAAGTTTTAGCATTAACCTTTCGAAAGTTATGCTGAACATTAAGTTGAAAAAGGCTCTGCAAAAGTGTGCGAACCTTTGAAAGTTTAACATTGAAATTTTTCGTTCCATCCATGGTTTCTACTTACTCAGTGCTCGCATCTCCTCCGCCAAGGGGTGTGGGCGGCATCTTGTAGACGTAACTAATCACCCCAGAGGCGATAGTAACAGCCAACAGAAATCCCACCGAGATTATGACTCCAATTAACTCTTTGCTGTCAATAATGAAAAATAACAAGATGGATTTGTGACACACTGATGCCCCCGTATGGCAACATAGCGAAGATTAAACTTTTCTTATATGCAAATTTAATATAAGTATTGGTATCCAAAGTAGGGTATTTTCACTGGAAATACAATTGTGAAATATGAAAGTAGGCCAAGGTTAAAGTTTTTTCATAAGTACGAAAATCTCCAAGGTCAAGGTAACTGGTATCCAATGAAAGGTCTTGCCACAAAGAATACATAATTATGTGAAGTATGGAAGCCTTCAACAGTCATGGCCAAGGTCACCAATTTTAAAAGTAGGTCTATCTCCAAGGTCAAGATCAAAGAGTCATAATTCTTGATATCAAATGAAAGGTCTTGTAACAAGGATTAAATATGAATTGCGCTAACCCTTCAAAAGTTATGATCAAGGTTTTTTTTAAAAAGTATGTCAAACTCCAAGGCCAAAGGGTCAAAGTTCTTGGTATCCAATGATGGGTCTTCTTACAAGGATTACATATGTGAAGTATGCGAGTACTAGCCCTTAACGTTGAAAAGTTATGGCTAAGGCTACCAGCCTTTCAATGAACATTTTCAATAGTAAAAGTAATGTTGGGCCTGCTCCATTCCATTACAACGTTATGGTCCTATCCGGACATGTGTGTAAATTCTATACACCCCCTCCCCCAAACTTACAATTCACAAGTCATATTACCCGGTATACTGAATTCTTACAAAAACAAGGGTACAATCATCAGCGGGCTCAATACGTAGAACTGCATATCGTTGTTCAAATACCATGACCATGCCAAACACTGTAAAAGAAGAGATTGGATAAAGATTAATATTTATACCCCCCTTGGAAGAAAGGAGGGCATATTATTTTGCTGCTGTCGGTCGGTCCACGAAGTTTCCGTTCATTTTCTTTACAACCGTTGCACATATTGAAATGAAATTTGGTATAAAAATTTATCATAAGAATTAATATCTAGGTCAATTTTTGTTTTGGACTTAGAAAAATTCCAATTATTTGCTGTTTCCCTTTATTTTCTTCACAGACATTAAACATACTGAAATGAAATTTGGTATACAGATTTATCATATGAATATCTAGTTCAAGTTCTGTTTTGGGTACAATCGAGCAATTGGGGAGAGAGTTATTCCAATCATTTGGGGGAGGGACATTAAGTGTTTTACAAACATCTCTTGTTTCCCTTAAAATTTTGTTCATTTTCAAAAAGAGGATGTGGAAAATGTCAAAAGTCAAGAGAGCAATCTGTTTAATTGAAATATCTCGGACATTTGCAGTTACCAAATCGTCTGATTTGTCGACAAAGTTGTTGATGTACAGAAGATTCATCCACCAGTTCTCCTCACACTTGATGCCGGGTGATGCAGGAGGGCGAAACGGTCCGAATATCACATGGTTGAGTAGCGTTGTATACAGTCCAATGACAAGCATATACATTGGAGTCAGTCTAAATGAAAAATAATAAATCTAATATACATGTAGTCTCTTCAATCACTCTAGTAACGTTCTAACAAATCATCGTGATTCTGTAATGGGGGGGGGGGTCAGAAAAGTTGTAAACCCGCAAAAAATTAAGCAAAAAAAAAAAAGGTTTTTTTTTAAATCTTATAATGCATTGTAAAAACATCGAGCATCCTTTTGTACTACCTCTTTTCCAGGAACACAGTACTAATATTGTCTTAAATTTCATATACCAATACACACATATCAAACTCAAAAGCCAATAGTAACAGTAAAAATCGAAAGCAGAGCAAACACAGACATTTATAAGAAAAACACCAGAGGTGGAATCAGGTGCAAAGGAAGAGTAAGCATCCCCTGTCTACCGGTCAGTGTTCACATTAACCGGGTATACTAAAATATACTAGACAGTCTAGTGACTACAATTTTACACACTTAGGTTTGATTGTCATTAATATGATTAGAAATAAACCTTTTCTGTAGGATCATGGTATCTTAATTGAAATAAATTCAAACATTAACCTCAAGTTTCTTTTATTGTCAAAGGTTTGTTACATCTCCAATGTCATTAACTTATAACAAACGTCAAGGACATGGGCAAGGATGTTAGAATCCATGAAACAATGACCGAGTCTTATTAGATGTTAAATCCCTAACCCTCAATCACGATATATGTTCGTCTACATAATACATTGTTAAACTCTATATCGGTATTGAAAGAAGGACATCGTCAAGATTTGATAGCATGGAATAAAACAAGTAAAGGAGAGTATTTTCCAATTGTATATAGTTCTTTTAAAATATATAAAATTATACACGTATGCATTTATTCTAATTCTGAGAAGTATGACAAAGAAATGAGTAAAGAAAAAGAAATGTATGCTTTCTATATATTATATATAAAATTATACACGGGGGGGGGTAGGACCCCCCCTGGAATTTACCAGGTTAAAAAATGTATATACTAAAACAAGAAAAAAGTTACCATGGACCCCCCCTGGAAAACACTGACCCCCCCACTGGTAAACATATATATGTGACATGTGTTTGAAAAGTGAAAGATTTGAGGTAATAGACCACCACTACCCCCCCCCCCCCCCCCCCCCCCCCCCCCCCCCCGAAATAGGTTTTTGACGAAATGTATGCTTTCTATTTTTTTTTTTTTTTTGCTTGTCATATTGAAATTTTTTTTGACTGTGTGGAAAAAATTATGGAGTGTGTATTATCGTTCCTGCCTCCAGTATCTATGGAAGTAGAACATGAACCAATTGATGCGTCCTTTAGATTTCTTCATTTCTTTCAGTAGGAGATAGGTGGTCAAGAGTCCACTGCAAATTACACAAAATATACATTGGACATAAAAGTCAAGCAAAAACGTTTTGTTTACTTTATATTTTAATACAGTTCGAACAGTCTAAATATCAACTCACCTCAAGACAAAAAACGTATCAACAGACACGAGAGCATTAGCAATGGCCTGGCTTGATGTTCTTTGTAAAAATTCTTTGCCATATTTCGCTGCGTTACCTACAAATAGTACAATATACGTGACGAGTCGACGATAAGAGAATTCATTTGCTTAGCATGTCGGATACCTTCAAACTACTTTTAATTTAAAATAAGAGTCTAGACCACATATCAATAAACATTTTCTGACTTACGTGAGACTGCAACTACAGTGCCCAAAGTATGGCCCAGTATGACCCAGGATATACTAAGGAATCGGATTCCATTGACAGCTGACAGAGCTCCTTTAGGCTGTGATGTGCTTAAAATCTTCTTACCGTTACAATACACAGAACAGGCTAACAAGATTCTGGCGATGATATCTGTAATGTTATTCATTTTTTTCAAATTTAAAACTGTTCTTATGTTCAATAAAGATACATCATTTATCACCCCAATCATTTTCCACTACAACAAGTACTTGTAAACTAAGCATTTGTGCCTACTTCTCTTCTTCTTCCTGGTATCCACTTTTTCTTTAGGTACTGGAATATTCACCGTTTTCTCGGCGTAGGCTGGAGGGGATTCAGCGCTCCCTTTTAGGGTGTAAATATCCCCGTTCGATGTTCCATTTTTAGTGACAGTTGTTGGAATTGTGTCATCGTGTGTTTCCTTACGACTTTTGACAAACTTTGGAATTTCAATTGCAATAATTTCGAACATTGTTCCAGCAACGATGATAAAACCCAAAACTGACAACAAAACTCTGAAAAAAATATAATGGCAAATGGTAAAAAAAAGCAACAAAGAAAAGCGGCTGAATTACTTATTGTTACAGATAAATTGATATTTAAAAGATTTTTTTGGAATTGAAAAATATTGTTCTAAAGACGTATTTACCGCAAAAATATATTCAAAACTAAGTTTCCATAGGTACTTTTAAAACACCTTGATCACTTTTTATACATATCATATCTAGATTAATGGTGTAATCCTTGGTGTTTTTTTTAATTTACTTATTATTCTTACATCATGGCTATATCCTTATTTTCGTACGGTACTTCATCTGGGGTTGGTGGGCATATGGATAAAGAAGCAGACAAGGAAATATTTCCAAGTGGAAGAGACTTCAACACTTTAAAAAACACCATCTTGTAGGTTAAAAAACAAGGCGATACATACCCCGGGTACATTCAGATTTAAAAACATTGCTTAACTTCGATTGCTAAAAAGTGTTTTTAACAGTGGGTCTTACGAAGGTTAGCGAGAATGGTGGTATCTTGGGTACTACAGGACTTGGGTAAACATGTACCAATCTGCAATGCACCCGATGTTATCTGTAAAAAAAAAAGTATTCACTTGCATTTCAGATGGTGCAATATGACAATTAATTGTTTTCCTTTCTCACTTCTACAATTAAATTATGGAAGTTTAAAATTTCAAATCCATAATATAAATTGTTCACATAGCTACTAGCTAGTTAATACCATTATTATAATGACTGTTACACATTATATTTTACCACGCTCTTTGAGAGGCCTGGGATCGGCAGCTGGACATTGACTGTACAGTATCGAGGTTTCACGGCCGGGAGATGGACGCTGGGCCGGAGAAACATTCCAGCCACCGCGTATTCTTTGTAACATTCATCGTACGATCCTGGCCATATGGTATCAAAGTTCAACAAATCCGTGGGAATCTTTGCTGAGGCATCAAACACTGCAAATATGTAGTCATGTTTTGCAAGATACGAGGAGTAAAATATCAAGTATTACTTTTAGTAGCCTTCAACTTATACTGGTGTATTCAGTTATTTTCATCAGCATTGATTTAGTTCAAGATCAGAATGGTCACAATTCAATTGTTGATGACTAAACAAACAGTTTGGACATACATGTAATTTCAATTCCTGACTTAATGTCAAAACTTTAGTGGCAATATAATGCAAATAAAATGAAATATTGACGTTGCAAAAATAATTTGTAGGAAATGCAGCGCCTTCTTCCTTTCAAACTCTATACTCACGTTTACTATTTCAAACGATTTATTGTCGCCTACGTGGCGCAGTGGTTACAGCGTCTGCTCTTGAGTCGCAGAGTAAGGAGTAAATCCTTACGTTGTGGGTTCGAATCCCACTGTGGGATGTACAGACCGATCTTTCGGATGAGACCGTATAAACCGAGTTCCTGTGTCGCAGTAGGTGCTGGCACGGAAAAGATCCCTCACTGCTCAATGGCCATGAGTGCTGAGCATAGGACAAAATTTGTAGCTCTCCACCAGCAAGTGGTGGCGTCTCCATATGAGTGGAAAATTCTCGAGAGGGACGTTAAACAACAATCAATCAATCAAACGATTTATAACGCAACATGACAAATTGCAAATACTCACTTTTTAAAGCCCATGGTTGTTGAGTTTGGAGACCATATGCAACCCTTATAGCATCTTGTTTACAAGTATCTGAAGTGTTGGATTCCAAAATAGCCTCTCTGATTCCCCCAAAGATCTCCTCTGACGGGGTGGCATTACTTCTGGGTAAAAAATTGCTCACAATATTCCCTATGTTTTGTAGAAACCCACTGTTTGGTGGTTTTGACGATAAATGTGGTATACTTGGTGTTGTCTTTATGATACCCACGGTGACAGTATCGTTTTTGTAGGAGCTATTAGTTGGTGTGGGACCAGGCAATAGAGATCCCAGCAGTTGTGAGATTCCTCCTCCTATTATCTGGCCTAATTGAGCAGCAGCTAGACTCGTGTTTGGAGATGAAGCATTACCATTACCAAAGAGGGAACCGATAAGATTGAGAAGCCCATTCCCTACCGCTGGCTTACTCTCGGTGACGTTCGCAGACGCCGTACTATTTGGAGTTAGCGCTGCTTTCCGCAGCACTGAACGTTTGATGTTGAGCTGTTCAGTAAAATCCCAGAATTCTTGTGATTGAAGGAGAGCAGTAAGTTCATTCTGGGACTGAATTTTATCTTCGATTGCTTCAAGAGCATGAAACATATGATCTACATAGGAAAACTTGGTAGTTTTAGACTCCGTTTTTGATATAGCTGTCCCACAGATCACCAACACTGCAATCAGCGTTGCCGCCATGATTGTCAAAGATGGTTGAAAATCGAGTACGAATGAAATAATGAACAGGGTGTTATCTATATACCCTATGTATCATGCAAAGGTAAACATTCCGGTGTTGCCCTGACAGGGTGGCCTGACCCTGGTGATTCAGCGATCGCCAAAAATGATTCTGTTCAGTTGCTATATTTTCAATACGAAAGAAACATGATTTAAGATCGAAGTTTGAACTCTCAATCAAGCAAATTAAGACCAACTTTGCATTCTTTGGTTTTTAATAAAAGTATTACACATACGGATAATATATTGCATCACTTCTTTTTTTCAACAGGTTCTTTACATATTCATGATTCCTAGTGTTCCATAACACACCCTGCTTCAGCTCAAGTGCCAATATTAGCCAGAGAACCGAAGGTCCGACGGTTTTTCGAGTGCTGATATAGGATTTGATGTGGAAAAAAGCCACGTACTGTGTTCATAACGTACATGTTTATTATTACAATAACGTATAGAACACGTCTACCAGGGAATATACTAAAGCAAATAATACACCCGTATCATCCCTGCAGATCACTATGCAAGAAACGCATCATCGTATCAACACTGGAAGGCGATATCTCTATTGTGATGTCAGTTATAAACATTTTTGTTTTCATCATCAGATTTTTCACCTAGATAAAATTAAGATACATGTACATGTACTAGGTATTGTATACTTTGACGCAAATGAGCAAAAATTCTGCAATTATAAAGTATGTACATTTGTAGTGAAGTAATTCATACTTTCGTAATCGGGTTTGGTCATGCATAGTTTTTGGTCTATCTTTCTGTCTATAAATCCAAGATATTTTGAACTTAAGAAAAGATGGTGCTAAGGCTTTGATATCATTATTATTTCATGAGTATTCTTGTGACAAGACCTTTCTTCGAATACCCTCATTTTGGACATCACATTTTAATAAACCTTCTTTTGAAAAGCTTGGAACTTCCAAAAAATCAGAAAATAAGTGTAAGCCTAAGGCTTTCAATCTGTTATTCTAGTCAATGCTTAATCAAATATGTTTGTATCCAAATAAAAATTCTTGTCCCAAGGAATACTCAAGAGAAATATGAAAGATCTTCAAGCATTAAAAACATATGGGCAAGTTTAAACTTTTTGTTGACAGTTACAGCAAAAACAAAATGGTTCAAACCCTTTCAGGTATAACAGTTTCATTCGTGGGGATTGTATATATTTTTTTTACTTGGACAGATATCCCTCTGGAGAATTTCTCACTCATATGGAGACCTTCCCACTTGCTGATGGAAGGATTCATATTTAGACCTAAATAAACTTTAGACTTGCATCCCTTGAGCAGTGAGGGACCTTTTTTTGTGCCAACACCTACTGTGACATGGGACCTTGGTTTATATGGTCTCATCCAAAGGACCACACATCCTGCAGTGGATTCAAACTGGAAAAGTAGGGATCAACTTCTTTCTCTTCAACTCTACAGCAGCAGCTTAACCTGACTGGGCCACATAGGGCTTAAATAACAGACACAAGTCTCTATGATAAATGTATCAGAAAAACTTAAAGGTGTATCAGTCCTTCTATTTTAGAATTTGAGTTTCATAAACTATCCAACCCATTTTTTTAAAAATAAAAAAATCAAATATTAACTTATTGCTTGCTGGAAAAGAAAGCATTTCTTTTGATCAGGAGAGACAAAAGCACACAAAAATTGCATAAAACATTTATTTTATTAATCTGCATGAATATTTATAAATTACATGTCACACTGAGTAAACTGTACAAATTAATTAAAATACATTGTGTACAAGCCCCAAAAAATTGTTTCTTAGTAAAATAACAGAAATATATCTTGACATTATTAAAAAAATTCTGATGATTAAACAAAGAGAAGATTTAATATTGGTGTACCAAGCAAAGTCAAGGAGGAGCTTACTAGAACAATGGTCAACACAATATTATATAAGTATAGCCCTTTGATATATACAAGTATAATTATAACTGACAGCTTATCATGTGCTCTTATTTCATAAACCAGGAGTCTGATAACTACAAAAAATTACCTAACTTATACTACAAGTCATAAGCATATACAAATCAATGAACATAAGTCTAATATCTTTACACTTACGTACATTTCTTTAATTTTCTGTGTTAATGAAAAAATCATTACAACTTTAAAGAAAGTTAAAATAACTAACATTGATTTCCAGTAATCTTTATGATTTTTTCAATGAAAACTTGAGGCATTGAATGTTTGTGTGATGTTTGTGTGATTAAAAGTACTGTATTATCCAAAGGAAACTCAGAAATAAGCTACAGTGTAATTGCATTCAAAATCCTAATGAATGATCTTTGATTGTAACATAAACAATAATTGGGACAAAACTGCTGCAAATACTAAGTTAAATCTAATTAAAATTAAATGTTCTGAATCCACAACCACATCTCAAACATATTAAAACACCCTAAACGTGAGTAATATGCAAACAAAAAAAACTTAACTATAACATTCATGCCTAGGATAGCCTTTGCAATAATTTTGTTTTCCATGCAACTAATTGTCTTTTAGGTTTGCCTGTGAAAAAGAAATACCGGCCAAGATTTTGGCAGTTTTCATTTCATTGGCTATTAATCAAGAGGTCTCTCACAAGACCCTGAAAGGGATGTTATTAGATGGTTAAGAAGTGATAGCAGATTCAGATCATCTAATTTTACTTATATTACAACTTTCTAAGATAATTTGAAAGGTTTTACAAAACACTTTCTGTTTACTGTACATGACTTCAACTTAGAATGATAATGGATGATATTTAAGACAACAGTCAGTTGCTTCACTAACATAGATACTTGGGTCTTGATTTATAAATATGTAAGTACTTTTTTTTTTACAGAAACATTTCTTTATTGAATATGCAAAAAAGAGTACTCCTTTTAAATGTTCAATAGATATACATATTTACAGACCAATCAAACCCATTGCACTTGCACGTGTTCACTAGCACACAAGACTTGAAATTAATTACTTATTTTTTACTATAAGAAAAAGGCAATATTTAAAAAATAGAAAATAAATGTACAAAATAAATAATTTATCAGTTGATTTCTACATATGGCTATATTCACTTCCTTCAGACTACATTATAACTTTATAATAAAGTCATCTACGATTATTTGTTAGAACTGGTTCACCTTCACGCCATCTGTGCAAATTATAACCAACCAGATACATGACGATTGGGATACATGTATTTCTTATACACATTTAGAACGTTTAATGCCAAAAGTTAACAAAATAATTAAAGGTATGAATTTTCAGATTTGTCATTGTCTAGTAGTTTAAGGTATGTGTACACACTGCCAGAGAATATTAAGAATACTATATTACAATAAAGCCTGCCTAATTGGGCTGATCATTGCTAACACATGGTAAAAAGCTATAGTTATATGGAGAATTATCTGGGAAGTCTTCAGAAAGTTACAGTAGCAGCTTTATACCGTATATCCGGTATTTTTCGTGTGGTGGAAATTTTGCGAAAAAGGGGTAGATTAGTACATTTTTTATTTTGTGAAAGTTATTTTTTACAATTAAAGATTTTTTTTTTTAAATGGAATGTTTTATGTCACATTATAGCTGACATAATTTCTGCATGTTTTATATTCTGAACTAAAAATGATCACAAAAAAAGCGAAAAATAGATAATTGCGATTAAACTGGATATACAGTATTATAAATACAGAATATTCACAAGAAATTTATTAGCCCCTTCACAGTAACTGTGGTACTACACTTTTGCAGGGCAAAATAATAACGTTTGGTGAAGTTTTTGTTGAGAAATAATTAAATGACGTATTTTTAACAATTACTTTTACATCATATTTCACCAAACTATATCATTTTGCCCTGCAAAAGAGCAGTACAGCAGTTACCGTGAAGGGGCTAATTGCATTATTTCAGAACAACTTGAGCAATATAATATTAACTCAGTTATATAATATTTTACTCTGCTGAAATACATAGGAATATTCAATATTTTGTAGTTGAATGTGAAATTTATTTCAGGATTGCGAAGCAGGAGTAAAAAATATTTTAAAAATCCCGTCTCATGAACGAATGAAATAAATTCCATATTCAATCACAAAACATTGAATTTTCTGTTTATTACATTTTCTTTGATCATGTTCAATCTTCCTATTGTAATACGGTCATAGGCTTCACGACATCATAATTCAGTGGTAAAGACATCATAGCTAAGTGAAGTGAACATGGATTTTAGCAACATAATGGAGTAACTTTGATAGTTTGGTTTTTTTCTCTGTCAGAATGGCTTATCTATTTTTATCTATCATATATCAATCAGGTCAAGGAAGATTTTTTACTCTCAGTCTGTTATGGGAAGGAAAATCAAGAGTTTCATCACACTTCTGATATTTGTCACAATATGAAAGGATATCATTTAGATATCCTTTCATACTGTGACAGAGTATCAATTTTATTCAATTTAGTGAATATATTACAATATGTCACCGTTAAAAATGTAATAAATGCCAATCATCTTCTGATGGGTCATGATATTTAAGTACAATGTACTTGCATAAAAGAAACCAACAGTCTTAAAGAGGAGGACACACTGTGAACTCTAAAGGCAACTTATCTATATAGACAACCAGAATTAATATATTTTTTTATTTTGTTTAAATACATGCTCATCATTTCATGATTTTTCATAATGATATATAGTGGAGGACACACTGTGAATTCTTAAGGCAACTTATCTATACAGAAAACCTGAATAAAGGCAATTAATCTTAAAACAATTGTTTGCCCTCTGGGTCAACTGCCAAAAAATGGCTGGACTCAAAACTTTTTAAATTCATTTAATTAAAAATACATTATTTCTTTATTCTTGGGATATTTACAGACACTGTAGAGGACAAGCCAACTAGTACCCATGAGGAGAGCAAATCCAAATATGGAATAAAGAAACTGAGAGAATTAGTTTACATATATTAGCTCCAAAAATTGATGACACCATTATTTTATTCTGTTGAAAA